GCTTCGCGTTATGGAATAATTAGGATATCATTTATATCAGGGCACTATTAACACTGATCTGATACGAGACACTTGGGATCTATGAGACGCCTAGCCCTCGCCCCCCACCCTCTTCCAATCCCACCCCTAATTCTTGGACTGTCTGTTGTGTCCACCCATCTTCCACTATCTCCATTTCCCCTAATCTTGGCCTACCTGCCTACCATCTCCTCTTCTCCTATAATTTATTTCCCCACTTCCACTAATCATGACCTTTGTGGCTTATCGACCATCTCCACTCCCCCCCCCCCCCCCCATTTTCCTATAATTTGGTCTATCCGTCGTACCCCTCCTCCCCCAACCTTACAGCAGTTCCACGTGCCTCGCTATATCTGTGCTCGCTCCACACATTAGTCTATCTCTGGGATATCCTCCCTCGCCCACATCCCTTGCAATACATGTCTCCAGCCTGGTCCATCTGGCGTACCACCCGTTACTTCCCTTTTCCACACATCATCTTGGTCTCTGCCCCCTCCTCCCCCCCCCGCCCCTTTTGGCCTACGTTGTACATCCACTTTTCACAAACGCTCCTCTTTTCACGAACATTGCCCTTTTCACGAACATCCTCCTTTTCACGAAGATCCCCCTTTTCACGAAGATCCCCCTTTTCATGAACACTCCCCGTTTCACGAACATTCCCCTTTTCACGAACACCCCCCTTTTCATGAACACTAACCTTTTCACGAACATCCCCCTTTTCATGAACACTCCCCTTTTCACGAACATTCCCCTTTTCACAAACATTCCCCTTTTTACGACCATCCCCCTTTTCACGAACATCTCCCTTTTCATGAACACTCCCCTTTTTACGAACATTTCCCTTTTCACGAACATTCCCCTTTTCACGAACATCAGAATTTTCACGAACATCCCCTGTTTCAATTTAACTCAGCTTGGCCTATGTTGTACATCCCCTTTTTCATGAACATCCCCCTTTTCAATTTAACTCAGCTTGGCCTGTGTTGTACATCCGTCTTTTCAATTCAGCTGAGCTCGTCCTATGTTGTACATCCCTCTATTCAACTCAGCTCGGGCTATATCTACCATACCGCCCACCTTCCCACACTTATCTCGGAACATGAGAGAAAACACGAGCCCACTTGACAATCCGCTAGTGTCAATAAAGAAGCCACGTGATCGCGTACAAGATAAAGGACAAAGACCAATTTCATTAATATCTAAAGGACAATCTGGCAAGATGTGAGGCTCAGGACCAGACTTTCCTGATCGATAGACCAAATATAGAAACCGCGGCCAGAAGCGCTTGGAACTGTATACAAATTATTATTGTATCCTTATGTATTGTAATATTCGGTAACCAACCATTATTTGGCCGGCGTGACAATGACCACATTTATCGAGTGCGAAGTGGTCTATAGAATACTGGCTAGCATCCTTTACTTATAACCTCAGTCCAGCCATTACAGGACGAGACTTGGTTTATTATGTCTATGACAAAAACGCCATCCACTTTTGCTTTGGCCAAATTGCAGTGCCGCCTGGTCAGCAGACGACAAATGACAGGCCATTATGTCCAATTAGCAAGCGTTGCTCTGTTACGTATGCAGCATGGAACAAAGAGGGAACAAAACATTATTTCTGAAACTGCTATTGAGGCAGCAGAACTGACGAGACAAGTTTACGGGGATCAATGTTCTGGCCAGATATTTAGGTGGTATTTACGATTCAAAACTGGTGTGAAACAGATTTAATATGAAACTATGCCAAGATGTCCACTTTCTCTTCGTTCAAATCTCTAAGCTTTGGGAGTTTGTATAAGCCATAATAAAATCAGCATCACTATTCAATGACCGGACTGTGTATCCACGGACGTACGCTAATATCTGCGCCTAAACTAAACGAAAGAGACAGGGGAGAGAGAGAGAGAGAGAGAGAGAGAGAGAGAGAGAGAGAGAGAGAGAGAGAGAGAGAGAGAGAGAGGGGGGGATGGGGAGGGAGAGAGCAATAAAATAGAATATCTATAATTTACACTGACAACAGAGTGCACGTGAAATCGATTTCCTGTCGCGCCGAGAAAGCCTTTTTACCACCGCAGAAGCACCCTCAAACTTCTCCCAGCTGAAGTTTTCCCTTCCCGGCGGTATCCAACACAGCCACGAATAAAACATGTTAACCTCGTGTGTAGACACAAGCAAAGCTAACAACGTCTCAACCTCGTGTGTAGACACAAGTAAATCTACCAACGTCTCAACCTCGTGTAGACACAAGTAAATCTACCAACGTCTCAACCTCGTGTGTAGACACAAGTAAATCTACCAACGTCTCAACCTCGTGTGTAGACACAAGTAAATCTACCAAAGTCTCAACCTCGTGTGTAGACACAAGTGAAGCTACCAACGTCTCAACCTCGTGTGTAGACACAAGTAAATCTACCAACGAGTCCAATTTAAATTTAACAGAAGATAGAACGAATTTTGTGTAATATTTTTAACCTGTTGTTCTGGTTATTTTCTTCTTCGGTCTTCTTTGCATTCACCAACAGTAAACTCCGGCAGAAAGTTCTGGTTGTTGGTTGGTGTCCGCCTCGAGTGCTAGAGGTTCCGGGTTCAATTCCCGGCAAAGGATGGGATTTTTTCACGTGGACTTGGACTTCTAGTAATTCTCCCTGATCTCTGGGTAGTTAGATCGGACGCCCGTGTGCATCGATGCGCACGTAAACAATCCCCTGGCAGTTGGAAATCGAAAAGAGTAGCCTAACGGCGATGCCTGGGCAAGATTTGGAGTTTAAAATCTGCCTAAAGTATTTCAGGATCCTCGCCGGTGCTACAGAGCCTGTGCACTGTGCTGAGATTCTTCGGACTCAGGACTTGGTTTAGAAGAAGAATGGAGCACTTCTGGGTTACTGCCCGGGCGCCGTGGCGTTGATCCGTTGTTCAAAACCTCAAAAACTGGACGCTTTCCCTGTCCCAGAGCTTAGGCTGTGCGTACACAGAAATATGTTTTATATGTAAGCAGATGCTTTAAAGGAAACACCCCTAACAGTTAAGCTTGTACGGCATGCTTGATAGGGTTCATTCCTTTTAACCCTATAGGTGGCACCGGAATCGACACGGGATCCGTTTATGTGTAGAGGTGCCCTAAAGTGGGCGTCATCTGCCGCGTTCCGTTGCTTTGCTGGGAAAATAAAATCGTCACGTTCAACTAGGAACCCCGAAGCGGGAGCTTCAGGTTATAATTGTGACTAGGTTATGTGCGCCATATACAATGTCTTAACCTTGCACATCACCACCAGGGCTGACAATTTTTGATATTTTTGAAAAACCCAGCTTCGCTAAACAAAAACCCAAGCAATGCATAGACAAAGAACAAAAAAAAAAAAAAAAAAAAAAAAAAACACCCCAGATTGTTAAAAATATACAAAATGTATAGTTACGAAACGAAACATTTACCCATTTTATATATAGGATATATTTAAAAAAAAAAACCCCAGATTTCCCCGAGGCGTCAAATAAAAACCCAGATCTGGGGGAAAACCCAAGCATTGGCAGCCCTGATCACCACAAGCCCTGGAAAGGACTCCTGCAGTGCTGATGCGATCAAAGGAGACAGACTCAAACATCGTCCCGACCAGCGACGAAGTCGTTTACCGGCGAGCCACTTGGTGACCTGGTGGCTGAAATGACGAACACTGATCTAGACGCGAATATGTATAGACTAACTGGACCTCGGCGGGGGAGGCGGGCACCAGCACGGCGGCCGCAGGAATCCCTGGACATCTCCTGGCACCCTTCAGTGGCGGTGTCCACTTGAAAGCCCAGGGTCAGTTTTAAAAATAAAAATCCTACTCGGTGCGGGCTCGAACCCAAGACCTTCCGACCGACAGGCAAGCGTCTAGATTAGTGTTAGGTTAAGCCATAAGCCAACTAAGCTGCAACTTAGGGAGTCACAATCGGCAGGGGTCTCAACAATTCATATTTTTGGTTTGCTGATGCCATTTTCTTTTAACAGGATTTAAGAGGGTTACGTAACATAATTTATGCAATTTTGCAGACACACCCTTTCTTATTTCTTTTGAATAATTAAAAAAAAAATATTAAACGACTATATATCTCCATTACCCATACATATTTGTGGAGTTGCCGTGGCGTAGCGGCTAGACGTGCGGATCGGAAGATCGTGGCTTCGCTCCCTGGCGGGGCCGGACTTTTAAAAAAATGACCTCAACTCCCAGGTCGACTCAGTCATGAGTGGGTGCCGGGTGCAGTCCCGGGAAGTAGAGGCGGCCGGCGTGGTACTAAGCACATCAGCTATCTTATGCCAATTGGTCTATCAAATATAGGTTCTATACGCCTAAAGGGGTGGAAAAGGGACGTTTACTCACTTACTTTACCCATATATATTTGAAAGCTTTTCTGAGACTGGCTGGTGTCATTTAAAACAGGAGGGGCCTCACTGCTTCTATACCTTATGACCTCATCCATTCTAAATCCTAGCCTGCTCTAGATAAAACGTGAGAATAGGATACACACTACAGATGACGACATGAACGGGACAACACGGTACACACTACAGATGACGACATGAACGGGACAACACAGTGCACACTGCAGATGACGACATGAACGGGACAACACAGTGCACACTGCAGATGACGACATGAACGGGACAACACAGTGCACACTGCAGATGACGACATGAACGGGACAACACAGAGCACACTGCAGATGACGACATGAACGGGACAACACAGTGCACACTGCAGATGACGACATGAACGGGACAACACAGTGCACACTGCAGATGACGACATGAACGGGACAACACAGTGCACACTGCAGATGACGACATGAACGGGACAACTCAGTGCACACTGCAGATGACGACATGAACGGGACAACACAGGACACAATACAGATGACGACATGAACGGGACAACACAGAGCACACTACAGATGACGACATAAACGGAACAAAACACCGCCGACAGACCAACAACTCACCTGTATGGTTCTGTGGCGAGACACAACGCAGTGGGTGCACCGGCGAAGGGGAGGTGGAGGATGCAGAGGCTATTACAGACCTGCGGCCATAGTTGCGTGAGTTCTTCCGGCTAATGGTTAAATCCTTCTGTGAATTACAAACAACAACAGAGATGTTACAATGAAGGTCATTAAGCTTGTAAATTCCTGCATTCATTCATTTCTTTCATTCATTGACTTGCCCCTCTAATATGAAAACATTTTACACTTTATAGAGTTAATTGTCTATTCTCCCATTCAGTGTTAACTCATGCAATCTATTCAATATCCCGTACGGATGGAAACCATCCCTTTGGTCTCTCAAACCATCAAGCCTTCTCTGGGACATCCCCTTTTCCTTAGTCAATCTCTTTCCAATTGTAGTACCTGTTGATTGATTTTCTGTCTGCTTCTGGTCAGGATTTGTCAAACAGATCACTTTCTCGGCCTTGTAACTGTTGATACCCAGCAAAAGTATTAGCAATGTCACTGCCAGCTACTGTCCACAGGTTAATTCTCGCGATGGAACAACTGCAGATATTGAGACGTCCTGGTAAGGCGCCACATGGACAACTGTGCTAAAGTAGCTAGAGTTGCCCTGTATTTGACCTACACAGTTATTGCGATGTTTTAGTAGTGAATCACATGGACAACTGCACCAAAGTAGCTACCGTTGCCCTGTGTTTGATGTACACAGTTATTGAGATGATTTGGTAAGGAATCACTTGCACAAGCGCACCAAAGTAGCTACCGTTACCCTGTGTTTGATGTACACAGTTATTGAGATGATTTAGTAGGGAATCACATGTACAACTGCACCAAAGTAGCTACTTTTGCCCTGTGTACACAGTTATTGAAAAAAAAAGTACCCACAAACAAGTGTTCGGACACAATTACCCACAAACAAAAGTGTTCGGAGAGAAGTACTCACAAATAAGCGTTTAGAACGAATTGCTCACAAATAAGCGTTTAAAGAGAATTTTTCATAAGCAAAAGTTGAAGGATAAATGCCCACAGTTTTATTTTTCTCTTTGTCCATGGTAAATATTTTAGCCTCAAAATTCAAATATGCCATACTAAACCAAGAATGTGTCATCGGTCAGCGTCACGGCAAACACGAGAATTGATGAGAGGCAGTCTCTCCCCTCGAAATCTCCAGTCTGTAGGATTAACACATCAAGGATGAGAATCAAACATGCACGAAGTCCAGAAACCACGATTAGCCGTATACGAGTGCCCGCCGACGGTTACGTTGACAAAACGTCCAGACAGGGCGAGAATTATCAAGCCATGGTAGATAACCCCATAAAGTTAGGGAATTTTAAATGAAAAATGTATTATGTCCCTTGCATTATAACCTCCCTTTCTACACGAAAAGCCACAAATACTGTGGTTGAAGGGGGTCGCCAATGTGTAGCGGCTAGAGGCTCGCCTGCGGATCAGAAAGTCGTGGGTTCGGGTCCTGACGGTACCAGATCGACCCAGCCTTAAATAGGTACCAGCTGGAGTCCTAGGAAGTAAAGGTGGCCGGCGTGATGCAGACCACACCACCCACCAAGTGCCGATCGGTCTATAAAATATAGGTTTAGCCCTATATGCCTAACACGCATAAAGGCGGGGTAAGGGTCTTTTACCTAACCTTACTTCACTTACTGTAGTTGAAAGCTTTCTTTGAAAAATTAAATCTGTTTTCAACAGTATGTCAAAGATATGAACAACACGAAATGCGAATTGTATGTTAAATGTTAATGCACTTTTTCAAAGACTGTAAACAAGGCGTTAATGTAGTCTAAGCTGTCACGTCCGAACTCGTCACAGTAAAGATAACAACCGTTTACATACAGTATTATCTCTATAAACGTCATAAATCGTTTCCAGATCGTAGAACGTAATGCAAATGCATTTCCACACACGATATAAATAGACAGAGACTGGTAAATCCATTCCTAGGACACAAAAACAATATCTGTTCTTAGTATCATATTATTCTAGTGAGTGCATGTATGTGTGCTGGTGTTATGTATATGGATGTATAAATGTGTAAGTGTGAGTGCATGTATGTGTGCTGGTGTTATGCATATGGATGTATAAATGTGTAAGTGTGAGTGCATGTATGTGTAAGTGTGAGTGTGAATGCATGTATGTGTAAGTGTGGGTACATGTATGTTTTTGTGTATGTATGTGCGTACGTGTGTGAGTATGTATGTATGTATGTATATGTGTGTGTCTGTATGTATGTTTCTTTGTGTGTATATGTGTGTTGGGGATGTCTGTGTGTGTATGTGCGTACGTGTGTGTATATGTGTGTTGGGGATGTCTGTGTGTGTGTGTGTGTGTGCGTACGTGTGTGTATATGTGTGTTGGGGATGTCTGTGTGTGTATGTGCGTACGTGTGTGTATATGTGTGTTGGGGATGTCTGTGTGTGTATGGGCGAACGTGTGTGTATATGTGTGTTGGGGATGTCTTTGTGTGTGCATGCATTTACCATCCATGCTTCTATGTTTTTCAGTTGATATTCATATTGTGTTGACTGTTAGATGAACATAACAGTCTTTATAGATAAATCGCAACTGCAGTCTCAAAGCTGAGCATTTGGAAAGGCCAATTCTAAGATTGGCCTGTGTGCCAAATTCGTGACCCTCATAAAATAAAAGTTCGTGCGATCGTTGTTTCTCTCTCCCTTGTGTTTTATCAGCGTTCATGTTTATCTATGCTTTCCGTTCTCCCTCCCATCACAAATCTAAGAAGCTCACCTCAACAAGCAACAACAACAACAAATGTTCGGATATGATTTTCTTGCCCTGTGTCGGCACACAAGCCAAATAATCCGCAGCTAACATTTTTCGTTGTTCATTCACCAGCACAATTGACGTCACGCAGACCTGGCCAGATCGTAGTCAGCGTTTTAAGCCAAAGAGATTATTTTCCCCTAGCACATTGTTTTTGCCTGAACGTGTGGTTTGTGTATGGGTTCTTCAATCCAAGACAGGGCTTTCAAAATTGTGTGTCGCCACACTCACGGTCTCAGCTGCAACATGAAGGTATGTCATGCGAACTGGTACTATTCAGTTTGTTTTATTACCGCTACTAGTAAATTATTAAGTAAAACTAACACCTGCGAAATGAGATTTCTGAGAAAAGCTGCATACTTTACGATCCAAGACAAAGTCAGAAATGACACTATCAGATAAACTGTAGGAACAACACCATGCAGCAGGTTGTTTCGCGAAACATCTCGCTTTACTTTAAGCCAGTGTTTTCCAAACTTGTCTTAGTCACGGCGCCTTTTTTTTTTTTTTTTCAATTAAAATGTTTCCACGGCGCCCTAACCTAAGTAAAAGTATGACTATTCGTATGTGGGAGATTAAAAAAAAATCGTGTTTCTTAGAATATTTTGCGGCGCCCCTGTTAAAAGGTCGCGGCTCCCCGGGACGCAGGGGCGCACAGTTTTGAAATCACTGCCTTAAGCGCATATCCGTAATTCCTTTAAGGGGTTAGTTTAACAACCGGTAAACGAAAGTACTGAGTGGCGAGTTAGTATAAAAACTGTGTCATCAACATGAACAGTTAGTTTGGAAAGTGATTTAAGACAGTGTTCCTCCGGCGTCTACAGCCGCGGCCCACTATATCCCCGTCTTCAGCGGCCAGTGCAGAGTTCCAAGTCCCTTGGTACCAGTAACAGTGTGACAGAATGTCCGTCTAGCCTTTCCTGGAGTGTCGGGGTCAGATCATGTGGTAATTCCCTGCTGCAGCATTCTTTTCAGACCGTGATACAATATTCGAGACTCCAAACTATTTACACACACTTCCGGCATCTAGCTTCTTATGCACCAGCTGGCACAATGCTACAGAACCAGTCAATCTGTCTCTCTGTTCACTTCCCAGAACACCTGCACGACCTGGATAAAAACAATTGAAATGACGCTAACAGCCTAGAATCTCTCAGACGCTGCTTGCCAATCTGCACACACATCACGACGTTTTCTTGGCCGGGGTGTGGGAGTTGTTGTTGTTGTTCTGTAGAACAAAGAACACAGAAGACTGGCGTATGGGGAAAACTGGGAAAGCAGATGACAGCAGCCAAACACGAGCACCTGCTCAGACTGGCACGACACGCAATAATGCTTCTAGCCATTTTGTCAAGAACAGCGAAAACAGAAGCCAGACTTATCAAGGAAACAGGAAACAAACTGCTTGTAGACACACGTTTTTGAGGCGGAATGGATTTGAGAACTGGATAACGACTAGCAAGATTAAAAGAGAGCAAAAGGAAGGAAAACAAATACATACCTGATGGCTTGGCCATATGGATGGGGGCAAGACAAGAACACTGACATGATACGTGACCCTGGTGATCGTGTGAGACAGCGAAATATTACAGCCTGGTGTTACTGATGATGATCATCATCGTCATCATCATCATGAGGACAATGATGATGACAAGATACGCATAAAACAATCAAATACAGAAGAGACTAGGATTACAACAAAAGTTGATAAAGGGAAATAGGAGACCTCAAAAAACAAAAACAAAATCACACTGGAGGGAAAGACTGGAGGCAAGCCAGCAAAAGGCAGGCGGCGACACATGTGGGAGGATAACACCACTAGACGGACAAACGGCTGTCTGCGACTGTGTACATTCAGGGCGAACACAAACAGCATGCCGAAGATCCACTGCAGCCAACCTCTGTTGTGGAGACGACATCTAGCTGATTTACTGGCACCTCATGTGCCCGGCACGACACAAGATGCTGCTTACACGAATGCCTAGACAAGATGCTAACTACACGATCGGGAGTCAATGTGACATCGGGCAGATTAACGTAACAACTACTATTTAGAACATTAACGCCTCGTTAATAGCTGCCATCGTTAAAAAATCAATCAATACGTGCATCTTCCAATCCGGAACTAATTAAAAGAAGCCTTTCATCGCAATCATCAGCACCAATAAGAAGTGTTGTCTCTAACAACATCTCCATTTCCCAGGCTCATTGTAGGCGGAGTCAACACGGGATGCACCATGGACTGGTTTCAGTGTTGCTTCACAAGTTACTTAATTGCTTCTTCAGCGGCCTTGATTTTAAGTAGTTTATATCTTCAGC